TCCTTACAAACAATGCACAATATGCTACAACATAATCAAAATACAAAACAATAATGTCAAAGTCCTTTTGACCTTTAGAATCATAGGTCTAACTTATTTGGGACTTTGATTGTCCTGCTTGACCTTCTCAGTGGCTTCTGATTTGGTGACTCAAGATTCTGACCATCTGGATTCTCTATCTCAGGAGGTCTAGGATTTAAATCATTAACTCCAGAATTTACATTTTCTGACTCTAGACAACTTGGTTCACTCATATCAACAGAACTTGGTTGTGGAACAAACTGAGTTGGTGTGAACTGATCAGACTTGGTGGGATTGATAGATTCACACTTATTATCTGCACAAGTTATTTTTAACTGTATAAGGCACAGGTCCTGTACATTGAACAATTTGACCTGGTATCCATTTTTCCTTTCTCCCATAACTTCTTAGATACACATTCTTATTAACACCAAATTCTCTTTCAATGGATGTTCTGTCATGATTTACTTTTGAATTGGCATCTGAAAGTATTATGCTATTATTCAGATCCTTAACTGGCATAGATTTCTTTGATTGATCAATTTTCTCAGGTAATCTGATAGTGCTTGTTGGTAACCAAAAATACTGTTTAAAAGTAATATCCTGGACAATATCACTTTGCAACTGTGATCCAGTATTTGAAGTGGGTGTATTAAATGGCAAAAATCTTTTTTTTTTTTTTTCTTTTGATGTTACCCTTTTAGTTTCTTTAAGTGCTAATGATGTTAACAAAGTTGTTTGATGATCACATTCCTTCTTACTAATGTATTCTCTCTGAAAGCATTTGAAATTGCCATATCACCATAATCATTTATTAAGTTACAAATACTTTGTTTAGGCAACTCTGACTGATAATGGACTGCATCTTCTCCATCTTTTATATTATCTTCACAAAGGTTTTTATTTCTTATTTAATATGGCCTTAAGTCATCATTCACAGACTCTTCAGGCCAACCATTCTTACAGTACTCATATACTTTTATTAAGCACTCATCTTTTTGTGTTTCTCTTTTAATATCATTCACATTTATATTGGAGTTATCCATGATAGTGAAGAGAACAAATACATCTTCTGGTACATAGCTCAGGCTTTGGTTTTTTAAAGGTAATCTACTAAGACTATCTGCACTATTCTCAGATCCAGGTTTGTATTTCAATTCATAATTGTATGCAGTTAGTGTGATAGCCCATCTTTGAATCCTTGGTGAGGCATGCTCAGGTAGGGTTTTGTTTTCTCCAAATAAACCTAGCAATGGTTTATGATCTGTAAAGATGGTGAACTTCCTACCAAACAGAAACTTATGAAATTTCTTAACACCAAAAATGATGCCTAAGCCTTCCCTATCTAACTGAGAATAATTTTTCTCAGCCTGGTTCAAAGATCTACTGGCAAAAGCAATGGGTCTGTCACCCTTCTCATCCATGTGGGACAAGACTGCTCCTACACCATCTGGTGAAGCATCACATGTCAATACAAGTCTTTTCCCTGGGTCATAGTGAGTTAGTAAGGTGTCAGCAGACAAAGCCTCTTTTGCTGTGTTAAAAGCAGCTTCTTGTTGTTTACCCCAGTGCCAAGTTGCATTTTTCTGTAGCAGCTTGTACAGTGGTGATAGTTTACCAGACAGATTTCCTATGAACTTTGCATAGTAATTTATCAAGCCCAAAAAAGCTCTTAGTTGTTGGGTATTTTCAGGTTTGGGTGCTTCTTTAATGGCTTTTGTTTTCTCCGGTTGAGGTCTGATGCCTTGTTTGCTTAATATATAACCAAGAAAACTAATTTCTGTCAACATGAATTGACATTTATCTTTGTTTATCTTTAAACCTTTTTCACCAACAATTTTCAATACTTTATCAAGTGTTTTAAGATGTTCAGTGTCATTCTTACCAGTTATGTACACATTGTCAAAGTACACACAAACATTTGGAATATCCTTAAAAATACTGTCCATGACCGCTTGGAAAATTCCAGGGCTAGATGATATGCCAAAACATAGTCTTTCATATTGGTAGAGTCCTTTATGTGTGTTTATTGTCGTATAGACTTTTGAATCTGGATGCAGTTCTAGTTGAGTGTAAGCATGACTAAAGTCTAATTCAGTGAATTTGTCTCCTCCTGCCAAATTCAAAGAAATTTCCTCAATGTTAGGTATAGGGTACCTATTTAGCTCTATTTGCTTATTCAGTGTAGTTTTATAATCTCCACAAATTCTTATAGAACCATCCTTCTTTAACACTGGCACAATGGGTGTCGCCCAATCGGAATAGTCTACCTTCTTTATAATGCCATTAGATTCCAATCTACTTAGCTCATTTTCAATTTTATTCCTCATTGCATAAGGTGGAACTCTAGCTTTGCAGTATCTTGGATTTGTATCTTTAATGCTTAACTTCACTGTTCTATCATTTAGTAAACCTGAATTACCAAAAACACATTTATTTTCAGATATAACTTTATCTAGTGAAGTAAGACTAGATTCTTTTACATTCTTCAATGAACAAATACTCTCCCAATTTAACTTAAGATCACTTAACCAGTTCCTACCTAGTAATGGCGGTCCATTTCCTTCAACCACAAGAAGAGGAAGTTTAACACTTTGACCATTATAACTTACATGAACCATACACTCTCCTATTACCGGAACATTGTCACCAGTGTATGTTGTTAGACACTTGTGACACGGCTGTAGAGACACTGATCCTTCTGTGACAGCGTCAAAATCTTTCTTTGTTATGACTGTTAGAGATGCTCCAGTGTCAAGTTGGAAGCTGATGCTCTTACCGTTGATATTAACTTGTACATTGATGGGAGCATGACTTATTGATTTAACAGAGAACAGGTTGAAATCCGGCTGCGAATCAGTTTGAGCATTTTCACAGGTAGAGTGGTTCATTGGTTGGGTTAGGTAGTCTTGGTGAGAGTTAACATAGTGCTGCTTTTGGTTGCGGTACTGTCTTGACTGGCTAGATTTAGCAACAGACGAAGACTTTGCAAAGCAGGCCTTGGCAATGTGACCTTGCTTACCGCACTTATAACAAGTTGCTAACTTGAACTTGCACCGATGAGATGCATGGGGACCTTTGCATCGATGACATTTTTGATAATTATTACTAGATTTAGATCTAGGACTTGAACGAGCAGGGTGTTTAGCATAAGTTGGAATGCTCTGATGGGGTGGATGTTTATTGACTAACCTGCTGTTTACTGCATGGATCTCTGAAGGTGCTAAAGATCTCACCGCATCTGATGACTGCTGGATTGAAGTTGCGAGTTGCATTGCTTTTTCCAATTTTAGATCTGACTCGAGCAGCAACTTTCTTTGAATATCAGGGCTGTTTACACCTGTCACAAACTTTTCACATAGTCTGTCAGACAGCGTATCGCCGAATTCACAAAATTCACTTAAATGACGTAAAGCAGCAACATATTCTGTTATTGACTCGTTTGGTTGACGAGTCCTACTGTCAAATCTAGCTCTACATAGAAACTTTGATGGGGTAGGCGCATGGTGGTCTGTTAGCAATTTGCTCAGCTCGTTAAAGCTCTTGGTAGTTAGACTAGCTGGTGCGCATAAGTCTTTTAGTAGCCTAAATTGTTGAGGCCCTATGACTGTTAACAAAACAGCTCTCTTTTTGGCTTCTATCGTCACGTTGTTTGCTTCTAGGTAAAAGCTTAACCTCTCTAGGTAATCTTGAATGATTTCATCATTCGCATCAAATTGATTTATTTGGCCATACAGCGCCATTATTCTAGAAATAATTAGCTAATAAGCTCTAGCAAACCTCTTTTTTGCGTAAGTAGGTGCTCTTTCTAGTAGATGTTTATCCTTCGTCGCCAGTTATAATAGATTGACGACAGAAGCCTGTGGTTGTATATAACACATTTAATGGGTCTAACTACATCACGATGGTAACACACAGAGAGGACGGGAGGAAGCACACAAGGGACATCACTCAAGATAACAATATTATAAATATAACTAATACAGAAGAGTGAGTTCCCTTGACCTCACAATTATTTCAATCTATTACACTTAGGTCTACAGTTTTAAAATATTAAAAAAAAAAATTAATAAAAAGTCTAGTGACAATTTAAGCGCAATTTCCTTATGTTATCTAAAAATAGATAGTGATCTAGTTTGTTTTTAAAAAATGTGAAAAAATGATTAGGCCTAGCGAAACAAAACCTTGTAATTGTAACTCCCTATCACTCTCATATAAATTATAAATAAATTAATAGGGTACAAAAATAACGTTTTAATTAATAAGTAAAAAATAAACTTATAGCAAGATCTAAAAGACAGCGAAAAATAGATTATTTTGACACATCCCTTTCATAACCCGTAGCTCTGTCGTAGCGTAAAGCACACACGGGGACAAAACACAATAGATCTACGTATAATGCTGGTGTGCATTCAAGCTAGGAGAACGATCGGTTTGTAGGTGTTTATGTAATTAAAAAAAAATTGTGACCGAACGAAAGGATATTTTTGAAAACTTTCTTCGGCAACATTGTTCTAAATTATGGCAGGAATCGATTGGTAAATGTTTCAAGTCGCTAAGTGGTCTGGTTGCCGAGATATGGGCAAAAAACTGCATTTTTCCGAGGTTTTTTGGCTTTTTCGGGAAATCCAGAAAGGAATTCTGGGAATTTTTTTGGCCCACAATCATCCTCGGAATTTGCTTAACATATTTGCTTTTGGAACTAGTCCTCGATATTGCTTTGTTGAGGAGGAGATACGACTTAAAGCTGCGGTAAAGCTGCGGACACACATCCATTCGTTCATTCATCCATCCATCCAGAAATAACGAGTTAATAATCGCAATCCCAGTATGGAAAAATGCGCTAAAAATTGACGATACTGCTTATTAAAACAGCTGTTTTTAGCTGTACTAAATGTTTTTGTGTATTCAATGTGTATTTCGGTATTTAGAGTTAATTTAGTGAATGAAAATTATCTAAGCTTCTGGAATTTAGACGTTCCTTCATTACTTATAATTGGCCTAGTCGATTCTAGTACTAACGATTAGGAAATTTCCCTTCTTGCAACTCTCAAATCAACGAATTTCTTCTATCTTTATTTCCATCTGCTCAAATAGTTTTTGTGCAACAAATAAGTAAATCTTGATCTAGATTCTAATATGCGTGGAAGGGGACGTCGTTCTGGGCGAGGCGGAGCAAATCAACAAAGAAGAGGTAATTCTCAGCCTGATGCTGAAGTTGAAGCCACAAACCAGACAGAACCTGATGAAATTGAGCCTAAAAGTGAAATTTCTGAACCAAATGATGAGCAGATGAAAATTGAAATTGTCGATTCAACTTCACCGAAAAAGGAGGTTTTCAAAAACATGCTAGAACAGACATCAGATTTGATTGCTGTTTTAGGTAAGTTTGATGCTGCTAGCTCAGTAGCTAGAAAATCTAGATCTAGTAGTAGTGGCAGTGCTAAGTTAATTGGGTAATCTATCGTTTTGGGTACGTAAAATCGCCCGCAGCTATTTATGTACGAAAACGTTACCTCATTGTCAAGGCTTTAATAGTAGTATATTGTCATACTTTTGTGTCAAATATTATAGATAAATGAATAATAAACCTAAATCAATGGCTAAATATATCGATATAGGCCTGAAATTAACTTTAAACAGCAGTGTCTGAGAGCAAGATTTGCTATATAAACAGCAGCCATTTGTAAAATAGAGTGGCTTCCCCCTGAACCTGGCGCTAAAAGCTTATAAAAATAAAACTTAGACAAGATGGCTGCTATAGTAAATGAAAATGAGCATGGTTGCATCTGTTGGAAACATCGCTAGTTTTCATTTATTACGGAAAAGTTTTACTTCAATTGTTTAAAAACAGGTACATAAATGAATCAAGGAAACATTTTTGAATTTTTTAAACATAAATCCTCCTCAAAATGTGAAATAATTATTAAAATGTAAGGAGTCACCTGTTTTTCACATTACAAGTCGCGGGCGATTTTACGTACCCAAAACGATAGATTACCGTTAATTGGACCATTATTTGAGTATCTCAGTAGGCCTATATTCTACTATATTCTAGGTAACACTAGTCACTAGATCTAGATTTCGGATGATTATAGATACCGGTGTTTGATAATATAATCTTTATCTATACCTCACTCCCCAGTCAGAAAAAATTAAAAATGCTTTTATAATTGTAAGATATTATTCCCAGTTGGCTGGGAATAGCCCCAATTGGGCTATTCCCAACTGGTTGGGAATAGCCTTGGCCATAAATTATTACCAGTTAATGTGTGTAAAATTAAGGCTTTCAAGTATAGTTTTCATATCTGTGGTTTGATATCGAAGCAGTATTTTGGAGTTGATTTGAAAGACAAGAATATAGGCCTATAGAGCTACTTTCACTAAATCACTGCTTGTGAGGCAAACAAAGAAATTAGGTCAAAACTACTCCTGGCAATTCTTATATTACAGACTTGAATAGAAACAGGTAGTTTCAATTTTTTAAATTGACGATGGCATCACAATCATAAGTTTTATCCCTCTACCGTGTAGTGACCGAGAAACTGGTTGCCATTTTAGTTATGCGCTTCTAGGGCTTAGGCCGTGAGATGGCTTTAAATCAAACAAACCCGGAAGCTGTCAATCAAACAGCCTATTTAAACATTGTTACATTTTTTTATGTCTAGACTCTACACTACAGTGATATTAACAAAGCTTGAAACGAGGAACTGGTTACATGCAAAATTTAATGATCCCATGTCAATTGTATTTCACAGTTTACACCTAGATTACAATCTAGATTAATCTAGAAGTTAGAAGATTAAATTTAGATTTCAGTGTGAATCATCGCATAGTGAATGTTCATGAACTTTCAGTCGCTAGACTAGTAGCTTAGTGGTCATCTGATTTCTATTCAACTTTATAAACACCAACATTATGTAGCCTATATTATATTTACTTGGTTTTAATCAACTATTGTGTTGGTTGTTGTTGATGTGAACAAATTTTCAAGACCAATAAATGTAAACTTTCTTGTTTGTCCTGAATATTACAACACTCAAAACCCAACTGATAAAACTCCAGCTAGTCACGCTAATGCGCAGATAGGGTATCATGCATGAGGGATGTGATTAGGAATCCAATACTAGAGAGCTAATTATTTTAAAATAAATAATTTAATGTTATTGAGTTGTATTGTTGTAGTGTAAAGGATGCTACTGATGAAAGTGTCTGTGGTTATGTGAATGTATTAGGCCCCTATGGGGTGACTGAGTCGATTAAATGTAAAAAGAACAAGACAATTTGCTAAGAATATCTAAGAATAAAGTTTTGTATAAACAAAGTCAAAAATCTGTTAAAATATTTTAAATTATGTGGGTTTGCCTATAAAATAAATAGGAGCTAAAGAAAAATCTCTGTTGACAAAAATAAGCATATTTATTTCGCCACCTGTAGACTGAAATTAGCACTTCTGCTATATATATAAACCTAGTGTTATTTGCTTGATTTATTTCTATGGAGGTGCATCCGTTACCCACCTGAAGTCTTTTTTTTCTAATACAGTAAATAATTCAATTAAAAAAATATTCGAGCATCCATTTCATGACTGGCTGATTTTGTGAGAAATTGAAAATATAAATAATGTGCAGCTCTTTATAAAATTTCAAGTTATACAAGCCATATGTATTTAGATATGGGACAGAGTTACCTAGCGGTAGAGAACTGGACTGTTAACCAGTAAGTCTCGAGTTCCAATCCGGGTTGAAGTCAGTAGAATGTGCCTGAGTCCACTGAGCTTTAATGGGTACCTAACTCATGTTAGGGTAAGTAAAGATGGCTGGGCATAGTGCTGACCACACTATCCCTTCATATGCTGAGGTCACAGAAACAAATGAACTCTACTTCACTTACCCCGTAGACCGTCAGGTTTGAAAGGGAACTTTACTTTATGTATTTTGCTTCATATTGTTAATTTAAGTAAAAATGTAGGCAACTAAAAAAAAAAGGATGGTAACGATGTAATACAGCTAAAAATAGAAGTTCACTATAAACAAAAAAAAAAAGAACCAATTTTTCTTATAATGCTCTTAATGCAACAAAAAGCAGTAGCTGTTACTATGTTTGCATCCTTGTGTCTGGCATAGACGTGTGATGACAGATGCTGATACAAACCTGTCAATGTTGTTTATCATGTTATATAGAGCAGTGTCTTCTTGATTTTTCTCTTATGATTTGTCCTAATTTAGCACAGTTGCAAAATTACATTGATTAAAAGTATATATTAACCCTATACCCCGTAGGATTAAAAATTACTTCTCTTTCCTTACTTAAAACTGTGTTATCCTAGGGTGACTTATTTAATTTCAATAATCAATTACAATTTTATTTTGCTAAGCAGCAATGTTGAATTTCTCATTTAGCGATCATGTAGTTGATGTATTCAAGAATGTTCAATGAATTTTTACCACTTGCTGGTGAAAATTTAGAATAATAAATCGCCTATACACGAGTGCCAACTATAAATACATTTTTTTACCATTGCAAAATTTAATATTATTGCATAATTAAAAGTAATAGCTATGACACTAATTCTAAAAGTAAAAATGTTTTTTTTTTATTTTTAAATAAAAGGAATACAATTTTAATTTTATTAAACTACTTCAAAAGCAACTGGTTATGATTTATTTTAATTGCTTTTTAAGTTATTTTACTGTAACATTTGTATTCTATTGTTTTATTTAGCCACTTGTTGGGTAGCAAGGAGTATTCAATTTACTATTGTTTGATTTGAGGAGTGATATTTATCTGAACAGAATGCTCAGCAAAGGAAAAAGTCTTTAAAATGTGTGGAGTTCCCATCTGCCTCAGCTACCACCACACATCTAGTTGCCTAGGCAACAGCAGCCTGAGCCAGGCATAGCACATTGAATGTTGGTGGAATGGTAAGACCAAATCCTACTCACACCCTGTTAATGCTGCAGATTGCACCAGGCTGAGGAACGCGTGCTCCTAGGGAACCAGCCCAGCTAGCTTTGGTTTTACAATTCTTTAGGAAAATCATGACGATCTTTGCTCATCTCACGTCGCGTTAGAATTTTAGTTTGCCAATTTCTAGTTATTTTATCTTTTAAAATTATAACTATTTTACATTTAATTTTACTTTATGTTATTTTTTAAACTCCTAGAAAAGCATGTAGAATATTTTAACTGTAGTACTCTTTCATTGAAAAGTTTAATCTTGTTTATTATTACATGAATATTTTGTGTGTTCATTATATTTCAAGTGATAGTTTTGATGACAAGTGATCTAATGATTTTCCTAAGTATTGTGTCCAGGCTTTGTGCTGGTTATGTGGAGTATTGCAATACCAGAATTCTATTCAAGCTGCAATCTGCATTGTGGGAAAATAATTCCTACATATAAGTACTTAATGACTGCGACTTGAGGATAACAGAGGAACTCTAGAGGATAGCACTTATGTAATCTTGTACACCATTGTCACAATATGTGTTGCATTTTTTGGCCTTTGAGACAGATGGAGAGGAAATGCTCTTATTTTTTTTACATTTTAATATTTGCAATAGATCTTCTGTGGTTAAACAAACATATTCACATATTTTACAGAGTTCTTTGATTTTAATATTTTATATTATAATGTCTGCATATTTTCTTCATAAATGAAATATAAAAACTCATTTGTAAGCAAAACACTATTTCAAGTTAAAATAAATAACCATAAAATAATTTCACTTCTTTAATTTTTAAAGCAATTGAATAGACTTTTTTCTTTGCATCTTTTTCTTAGGCATTTCACAATGAACTACATAATTGGCAATGGTTGTTTTACTATATTGTTGGCAATGTTATCCCAATGTCCAGGTGTAATTAATTGCTATTTAATCTATTTATTTTTATATCATTGACTCAGTGCTTTGTTTGGTGTGGTCAAATTTTCTGTTTCTAAAAGGTAATGGTAATTATTTTACTGTGGCTAATTAACTTTCATCAGTGGTTAATGCCTTGGTAAGATTGGTTGAATTTGTTCACATGGGGATTTAGACCAAATATTTATGCCCTTTATTTTAGACCATATTAAATATTTTACAAAAGGAATGGATTAGGGATATTAAGCAATTCAAGAAGCGCTTAAACATTAAGAGTTTATATTTGCTTACATCCCTTGTTCTACTAAACCAAGATGAAGTTACTGGCCATTATCTACACTCAGACCTATCATATTTTTGGTCAAGTGTAAAGATAGCCATTTGAATGAAATTGCTGCATGATTTGGTTGTCATGGTGAACTCAAATACTCTTGGTTATGTCCATAATCAGCATCCGTGGTTTGTGAATAATACAACCAGTACCTGAAGTTTACAAGATGTTAAGTTCTATACTTGATATTTTTTCTGGAGCTGCCTTCATGAAATCTTGTTTAAAAAAATGTCATTAAATAATGTATACAATAGTTTGTTTTAAGGTATAATTCACAATAGGTAATGAGTTCAGTCATGACAACATTTGATAGAAATGTTTGTAACATTTCAGAAAACATCTTTCTGTGTGATTCTGGTATCTTAATTTTATATATATACAAGTTTACATTTCCAAAGACATAGTGATGTAAAACTAATTGTGTAAAATTAAAAAAAACTCATCAGACTGATACATGCCTGCTTCAGTGCTTGTAAACATCAACTCAGTAGATACAAGCCTAGATTTTTAAGTAGATAAAAAGAAAGTAACAAATGATTTCTATTTGCAGCTAACAATGTCTCTGATCTTCAGTCAGATGAAAAAGTAGAAACTGAGATGGAACAAAACACCGAGGTAAAACTATTATACACACTGAAACCTTATTTAATAAGAAACATTTATTGGATACAATGTTTTCCTCATTTTTTTTCTTTGCTTATAATAAACCACTAGCTTCAGTAAATGAACCCACATGTTTTTAAAATTGTAATAAAGTTTTAAAGACAATGAAATGTTTGTTTAGGCTGATGAACCAAAGGATGAGACCGCCGGTGGAAGCTGGTGTACTTTGAAGATGGAATATTCTGGTGCTGAGCAAAATGAAAGTCAGAAGGAAATGGAGAAGTTTGTCACCTCCAGGCATCCTTGTATGATGCTCAATGAAAAGGAGTAAGTTGTTTTTTTGTTGTTGTTGTTTTACTGTTAAATAAATATGTAAGTAGAGGGAATTTTTGTATATACAACTTGGCATAAAAGTGAATGGTATGGCCTACGACCCCTCGCCTTAACGTTCCATGACTTAATTCTGGTGCACATCATTAACCTGTTGGGACTTAGACCTTAGTACCTTTAAATAATATTATTGATGAATATTTGAAGAACGTGGTGATTAATTTGGTTAGCGTGTAGTGGATAGTGTGGTTAGCACTGATAGTGTGTAATAATTGTCATTAGTAGGTAGTTCGAACCAGTGATCCCTGTGACTGATAGACAATGCTGCAATACAATACCATAGCTAGGTAATGATTTGAACTATTGCCTGATATGTTTATGTCACAAAGTTGCATGACACGCCCGAATATTGTGTAACTGAACAAATTAGCCACACTTATTAAACACTTTGATTAAAGCATGTTACAGGTAGGTAGACTTTGCCACCACCAAATACACAGAGCAATGTTTTAAATTTTAACCAGTACACTCATTATATATATATATCATTGCTTTAAAAGATGTAATATTGTTTTGTTTAAGTAGTATATTTCTGTTTTTTACTTGACAAGGAAACAAGCAATAAGCTATGAGCTTGAGTCAGAAACTGGAATGCCACAGAACAGAGAGTACATTATGTTCTGTGAGATCCGTGGCCAGAAGTTTTGTGGCCAGGGGAAGAGCAAGAAGCTGGCCAGGGCCAAAGCTGCAGAAACTGCTCTCAGGGAGCTGTACAACATCATCTATGACCCAGGTAAGTCCCTCACTTTGTGTCACATGTAGAGTTCATGTGCTCTCAGGGAGCTGTAAAACATCATCTACGACCCAGGTAAGTCCCTCACTTTGTGTCAAGTGTAGAGTTCATATTTGTTTACCTCGGCTAATGAGGGATAGTGTGGTCAGCACATTACTTTCCCCAAGGTTAGTTAGGTACCAGTCAGAGCTGGGTTGACTCTGGGATGTTCTACAGTCACCAGGTCTAGACCCAGACCCGAACTTAAGACTTAGGGCAAGCAGTCTAATTCTCTACGGTTCAGCCTCACCATCACACACTTGGTGTGATATGTGCTGAACTTATCTGGGAGTGCCACACTTTGTGTGATGTGTGCTAAACTTGATCTAGGAGTCTCACACTTTGTGTGATGTGTGCTAAACTTGATCTGGGAGTCCCACACTTTGTGTGATGTGTGCTAAACTTGATCTGGGAGTCCCACACTTTGTGTGATGTGTGTTAAACTTGATCTAGGAGTCTCACACTTTGTGTGATGTGTGTTAAACTTGATCTGGGAGTCCCACACTTTGTGTGATGTGTGCTAAACTTGATCTGGGAGTTGTCTCTGTCCAGACAAATGTTTGTGCTGTGAAGTGCACAGCTTTTAGTTTAGTGTGTGTATTTAACTTCTTTAGTTTCCACCATTTTAAAACTACACACTCTCTTTCTAAATTATTACTCTTTTTTTATTGATTTCTAGTTACTTTTATAATTTATATATTGCTGATAAGATTATTTTTGCTTTATTTTCTTTTATCATAAATGGCTTGCAATGTATTAGTGGACTTTAAAGCCCTTTAAATGTAATGTTTGAATATGGCTACCCTATAGCTTGTATTTAAAGGTAAACTGAAACTTGTAGATGTTATCTGATATTTAGATATCAACTGAAAAAGTTAATTAGAGGTAGTCAATTTAGTTAAATGTACAAAAAAAATTCAAGCTATTTACCAGGGGAGATAAACATGTAACACTTAATTTTTATAAGCTAGTTGTTTCCCTTACTCAAACTTAAAAAGAAATTTAAAAAATGTTAAAGAATTCTGAACCATTTTCTAGCTATTTAATTATTTAGTTGCATTAATTTGCAGAGAATAATTACAAGGCTTTTTGTTTCAAATTTCCATTAGAGTTAAGATCTAATTTATAGCTCCTTGTTAATTAGTAATTTTTTCTGTGTGAACCGTCTGAGACATTTCTTTAAACATAGACTAATCTAAAACTATGTTGCTGTTTCACATCTTCCCATTAAAAAATCAATAACCATAATGTTTGTTTTTAGTTGAAGGAAGATGTTTTAATAATTTTTTAAAATCATGTTAATTTTTATTCTTTGTATTTTCTGTTTCATCAAAACGTTATTTACGATCCTTACTGTCTAGAGCTACTTTTTCATAGTGTATATTATACTGAAATGAAAATTGTTTAAATACTTAACCATAACCCTTTAGTATTTATATGAATCACTCTTTTTAAGAAGACACAAATAGAAATAAACACATGATGATACTTTAACTATCACCTCACAAAAATAGCATTACACCACGATACAAATATCTTGTTATCAAATTTACCATGAAAATAAATTGCCAAGTTTTTTTTTTCTGTAATGATTTATTATCCCAAGCCACTAAGCCTGTGTATTTCAATTCTATAGCCCCTACCCCCCCATTAAGGTTATGTCCCCTGATGCCTTGTTTGGATGAGTTTTTTCCCCTCACTGAATGGTGCTGGTTGAATATTCTCCAAGTCTCATTAGAAGTTAAAATTTGATGCGTGACTCAGCATTGTGGTTTGTTGATAAAGATGTCTTCATGAAAAATGTATGTGGTCAAGATTGCTTGTGGGGAAGGAAGACCTCAAAGACATGACATTGTCTGGCGTTATTACATCAGGGAATATAATCTCTCGCTAGAATATTGGCATTCCCTGGCTTCCTTGGAGTTCTTTAATTGTCTAGAGAATTTGTCTCTACAAAGTCTCCCTCTGGCTGTCCACAGCATTTTATTTTCTTCTAATCCAAAACTTGCGTCTGTGTTTGAAACATATGTTTTCTGGAACAAGATTATTTCTATATTTTTTCACAAAGGTTAAGTTGATTTAACAGAAATAGTGTGTGGTTTTTAATTCTTTCCTCCCCTTCACCTACTGTTCTATGATGTGGCCATCAGAGGTGGAGACTCTTGGGATATTAGCTGATCACTACAAGTGTTTTTAATTAGTTTTAGAACTCTGAACCATTCACATTTCAAGAAACTTTTTTGTGGGAATTTTTCATCTTATTTTCTTTCAAATTATCTGTCATTCCGAGGTAAATTTATTTCTCTTCTGCATTATGGCTTTAAGTGTTGTAGTTCTGTGTGCATCAGTCCCAAGATGTTGAATTATTTGTCAACAACACCACTTTATAAGGTTGTTCAGGGTGTGCTCTAGTGTTTGCTGTTCAATCTTAAATCACGCTATCGTGTCCTGCAGTGGTTGCTGTTAAACCCCTCCATTGTGTGCTGTAGTGGTTGATGTTAAACCACTCCATTGTGTCCTGCAGTGGTCGATGTTAAACCCCTCCATTGTGTGTTGTAGTGGTTGATGTTAAACCCCTCTATTGTGTGCTGTAGTGTTTGATGTTAAACCCCTCCATTGTGTGCTGTAGTGGTTGATGTTAAACCCCTCTATTGTGTGCTGTAGTGGTTGCTGTTAAACCCCTCCATTGTGTTCTGTAGTGCTTGATGTTCCATCTTAAACCACTTCATTGTTTCCCCATTCATATTTCATTGCTCGAATAATCCAAGCGTCGTAGCCGGGATTTAATTACGTTAAGGTTATTAATAATTGAAAGATTTTATTATCAACTAATGGCTTCTGCCAGCGTTGAATGCTAGAAGATGTCGGGATGTGGGTTGACCACAGAGTGAGGGTAGAGTGTGTGTGTGTGGGGGGGGGGGGGGGGGGGGTGGAGCCAATGAGACTCCACTCGTCGTGTTGTGATGCCAGATAAACACAGGCGCCATTATTGATCGTCTGCCTTCAGATTTTTCAGCCTTCGGGAAATTTGTCAAGAAATATAACAGCTCTAAGTCGCCCTGTTTTCTCGGAGAGACCCGTGTTTAAAGGGGTAGACAGACACGGTTACCTCCCTCCTGGCCCCGGAGGAAACCCCTTTTACAGGAAAGACAGCTCCCCCCACCCCCCTCAGAAATATCGCAAATAGACTACTAGTTATATCCAGATTACTTCGTTAAAATTTTTTTTCCGACATGAAAAACATTTAACGACAGCAGGTGATAAAATACTGGCCACATCACGTGATAAAACATCCGTAACATCGCGTGATAAAACATCGGTCACATCACGTGATAAAACATCCGTAACATCACGTGATAAAACATCGGTCACATCACGTGATAAAACATCCGTAACATCACGTGATAAAACATCCGTAACATCACGTGATAAAACATCGGTCACATCACGTGATAAAACATCGGTCACATCACGTGATAAAACATCGGTCACATCACGTGATAAAACATCGGTGACATCACGTGATAAAACATCGGTGACATCACGTGATAAAACATCTGTAACATCACGTGATAAAACGTCCGTCACATCACGTGATACAACGCCCGTCACATCACGCTCTAAGAAATGTTCCTGTCCCCACAGCAAATCACTTCCTTCCCCTTTCCTTCCTGGACACTTCCTCTACCGATTAAGACGAATGTCTTCCATTGTCTTTCTTCTTTTTTTCTCTGATTCTCTGCTGTTAACGTTTGATTAACATTACCCATGTCTGTTCACTGATTGTAAGACAAATCCAAGAGGAAAAAAAACACAATCCATGAAATGATTTAGTTTCACGTGAACAATCAAGCCAGTAATTTATTGAATCATCATACCTAAAGCGACATAGGAACTAGTACAACTTTAATGATTAATGTAAAATTCGCGTGATTTACATTTTGTGCTCGTTTGAGTTGTCATGCAATGTTTGAAAGCTGTAGCAAAACTTTGAAAGCTATCATACAAGTTAGAGCTGTCATATGACGTATGAAAGCTGTCATACAAGTTGGAAAACTATCATACAAGTTTGAGCTGTCATGTGACATATGAAAGCTGTCATACACGTTTGAAAGCTGTCATACAAGTTTGAAAGCTATCACACAAGTTTGAACTGTCATGCGACGTATGAAAGTTGTCTCTACTCTATAGTTAGTTTCTCTCATGTTGGTAAGCCGGCTACACCAGCGGGGCTTCCTCTGCTGACGTTAAAGGTGGAGCTATTGTTGTGATACCGTCTTATAGGTTTATAGAAGTCTTATAAGTTCTTCACTTGGAGATGACAGCTTTTTATGACGGATATATTCGAGTTATTTATAATCGTTTTACTTGGCCATCGTTGTACGCATGGATAGCTCTATAAAAAGACGTCCCCATGAGCAAACTAACACAATATAACAGGCATCCTGAATGTATCGTGCTTTTATACAAAAATCAACCGAAACAAAACACTTACCACCCTACTCTGAACCCCAACACAAACCCTCTTAGGTTCATTCTACCCAAACCCTACCCAAACCGTTGCGCGTGTAGTTTTAAATGTATTTAGTTTGGTGAAATAGTATTATTCTGGCACTGTGTGATTTCTACCAGTAGCTTAACTTCTCTGCTAAACTACCAAGCTAAGTTGTATCCCTTAGCTGTGAAGGTTATGGCCCTGAAAAAATAGTTTTATTTTTAGACACATTTCTCATGGTTCAAATCTGTTAAGTTGGGCAATCAATATATTTACCGGGTCTTTTTCGTAGTTTTTCATAGTGAAGACCAGCACCGGGCCCACTGTATCGTAGTTTGTCATAGTACAGACCGATGCCCCAGCTGTATGATGTAGTATGATCGGTCATCATTACCGATGGGGACATGATGGATGGGACCTTGATACTGTTGTGTACAAGGTTGTTTGGTTCGCTAGGAGGTTAACT